CAAGACTTTCAGAAGTTCCAGTTCTATACTTGTGCCCTTATTATTTCAGTTATTTTGCCTTTAATGTAAATAAACATGTGCAAACAATATACTTGCTCTTGTGAATTTATTTGGATGTTGATTACATTGTGCGAGCTGTCTCTTTAATACCGCGTGGTTTACATGCATGTTGCTGCTGATTGGGCTGACATGTTTGAGACACCCACCAAACAAGAGAAAAGGCATCTCAAACCCTGTTGCACACCGTTTCCAGGAAACATGTCGTTCAAACCGGAAACCGTTGCAAAATGGTGCACAGCGGTTTGAGCTTGAACTTGCCCCAGGTCTGTGTTGTGAAATGCCTTTATCGCCATCTAGTGGACAGAAACAAATGTGTTTCACGTTTATGAATCAGCAGGCTAACGGGGCACCATTTCTGTCAGCCCTTTAACTGCAATCTAATTTAATTGTGAAAATCATGAGAAGGCTGAGAAAATAAGACTGAGACAAAACCAGAAAAGTTGGAGAAACAGGAGTGTCTTTCATTTAAGACACAGATAAGATTAAAACAAAAGCAGAAAGTCCACATGATATAGCATGTTGTGAAATAAAATGGCAGGGATGATATCTTTTATAGTAGTCAGACATTAAGTCCTACCGCTTCCTCAAGATTTTAGTTAGAATTAATGTTGATGAGAACACGACCAGTAACCGAGAACAGAAAAAGAATTGACAATAAAGCAGACTTGACTTGACTTGACTTGACTTCAGATTTGGTGAGTGTAATCATAAGGCCTTTGCAATGCTAAGTTTTCGTTAAAGGGACGGGACGAAACGTTTGTCTGTGACGGCATGTCAAAGTTCGATGCTGTGCCATGGAAAAGGAAGTTGTTATAACTCAGCCATGCAATGTCCGATCTGCACCAAACTTCACATGTTTGATAAGATTCCTGGCCTGAACACATCTACATACCAATATTCAGTTATAGTCATAGCTCCACCTACTGTCACCAGGAAATCTCATGTTTTACACTAACTCAAACATACCATGTCCAATCTGCACTAAACTTCACATGTTTGATAAAAGTCCTGGCCTGAAGACATCTACATGCCAATATTCAGTTGTAGTCATGGCGCCACCAGCTGGCAGCAGGAAGTTTGACATATATAAATGACTTTGACATATTTCTCCTATATTTACCACTTTAAATGAATATTGCCCACTGTTCGCTGTTTTCCAAATGCCACTGGGTGGATGCTGAGCCTGCTGATATCATCAGAGGAAACAAATGCCTTGTATCTCTGGATAGGAGGAAACTCTTTATAACTTTGTTTTCTCATCTGCATGTCCTCACATCATAAGTTGCTCATCTGGGACACGTGCTACGACGTATTATAAATCGCAGAATAATATTTCCTCAGTGCGGTTTATTAATAAAGCCCCGTGATCTGGCCTGGATGCAGACAACCATGTCCTTATACATGGCAGATTCTCAGACTGTCTAATTGCATTCTAAGAATCTGTTCCATTTGCAGACTTGGTCTATTTATATCCCACTGTAAATTGTATGACCCAATTTGATATGCACCACAGATGCCCAATGGCAGGTTGAGGATAATGAGACAAAGCCTGGGAAGTCAAACACTACACTTGACCACCCCAAAGTTTTCTGCATAATTTATTATCTATATCTTGATTCATAGTTTATTCATCTTAAATGATGCTGCAAATGGTCAACAAGTTACTTTTTATATGGTGACCTATATGATGGACATGCTATACTAGAAGTGTCTTTAAATGTCTGCATAGCTCATTTGGATGACCTACAGAGGTTTAGGTGTGGCGGACTAAATAGAGAATAAATTCAGCAGTGTCAAAAGGTACAGTATTTGGACATTTAATTCACATTTTTGATGACTTTTGAATGTTTGAACGTCACTGCATTGCAAAAAAATACAATGAAGTGGCATTCATTTTAAAGAATTATAAGCATAAGCACACTTTTTAAGCCAGTTTGTTAGGTTTTAAATGATAAAACAATTGACATACTAATAAAAGACTGATTTCATACTGTATGTTCACTAAAAATCCTTTGAATCAATTGGTTAAAAGTGCTCAAATAACTCCAAAAAGTTAGTTATGAGAAAAAATCTTGGATAAAACTTTAGTATTTTGCTATCTGAGCAATATAATTCATTTGTTTTAAGTGTGACTTTGGTGATCAAATACATTTTTAAATTAATTATTTAATTAATTCACTCCTTATTACACTCTAAAAAATGAGAAAATTTTGGGTTTTAAACTTGATTAACAACTAAACACATCCAACAAATCAAGGACATTTTGGTGCAAAACAAAATGTTTTGTTTGGATCATTAGGTCCTTACCAACATTAGTGGGGAAGATATGCTCATTGTTGATCTGGACCTCAATCCAGTCCATTAGCAGGCTCATGTATTTGGGAGCAGAGAGAGCGGTGGGCTTCTTATACTTTTGTTCATCCTGCCAGCGGTACTCGTACTTAGGCCCGCCTGACATAACGGGGCAGGTCTGGTCTGTGCAGGAGTCGCTGATGGTGCCATAGATGAGGTTGATGCGGTTAAAGAAGTCCACCACGTGAACGGCCACCCAATCATTGAGGTCTTCGCCGTGCGGCAGCTGCACCGCCTGCTTCAGGTCCAGGCCGGCATTTAGGGACGCCTGTGCTTTCTTGTGCAGCTCAAAGCGCTGCGTTCCAGGCTCAAACTTGCGCTTGGGCCGGAATGTCCTGTCCTTGTTGAAGACTTGTTTTAGGGCCGTGGACATGGTTGCTAGGGGACAGGATTGTTGTGTAATGTGTCTAAAATGAGCCTTTTGATAGCAAGGGTGCCTGAAATGAAAAATTAAAGGACAGATAAACAAGGACAATATTGTGTGGAGGCTTTTCAGTATCACCGACTGATGAAGGACGGATGCTGAATGAGAAAAAGGGAAAGAAAATAAAACTAGGTCAAACTTTGTCTCCTCCAGTGTTCCAAGTTCTTTTGAATAAGGGTTTGATTACATAAGACGAGAACATCATTTTATACGATAACACACACATTAAGAGCAGTTTCTAGCAAATGTTTTATGTTTATATTATTTAGTGCTGAGCCAGACTAAAAATATATTAACATAAGAAGATTTCATTAATTTCCATGACTTCTCCAGGACTTTCTCTAATATTTCCAGGTTTACAGATGGGAACCCTGGTAGACAAAACATTAAAAGAGTGCTTGAGATGTTCAGATTTTCTTCTCGCTGTGACACTGAAATAACTTCATTATCAAATCGAAATATTTTTTCCATCATTATTCAAATATTTTTGGACCAACATTTTTACTACTGCACAAGCATATTCTCAAACTCAAGGATTAATTCCAATCTGCTGCGCTTCAACATTAAGTGATAGAATGGCACATGTAGCAAGAAACAGCATTTTGAGTATTTGTTTTTAAAGATTTTCTCAGTTTAACCAACTGAACAAACAAAATATCATATCTGTATGTTAAAGAAAAGTCGGCCACTGAACAGGTTGTATACAGAGGTATTATATTTAGAATATTAGGGGAATTACTGAGTAATTTCCTGTTGGGCACCATGGGTGGCATTTACTGGCCAGGGCAGGGGGATTTCACTAACTTGTATAATAGTTACAGTATGTTTATTAATAACTTAGAACACATATTTTTCAAAAGTAGGCCTATGCATTTCAAATTAAAACTTTAAAAATTATTTGAATACATATTTTTACGTTAAATATACATATACATGTACATACATTACCTTTTAAATTTAAATATTGATATATTGTAAACATGTAAATATGCACATGTTTGTAAATGAATGGATGCCAGTAGCAAACATCAAAAGCGAAACATGTTAATTCCGTATGACGATGTCTTTTTAATGGCGTGACCAGGACACGAATTTAACTTTCATGAAAACACACAGGTGCGATAACAAACGAACCTTTGTAAAATCGACAGTTGAATACCCAGAACGTACCAAATTACGATGCTGTTAAGCAAATGTTTTTGTAGCGTACAGTGAAGTTGAAGCAAACTTACCGAGCGAGCGCCTTTCTTGTTCCGCTTTGATGTGAACCGCCTTTTTACACCGCCCTCTATTTTGTTCGTTATTCAAGAACGTGCTTGGTTATTGTAATTACATTGTATTTACAATTGTTATAGAGTTAAAAGGAACGTGGCCTTCGTACTGTAACAATTATTAAGTCCACACTTTCTAAGGAAACCACAAGCCCCTCCCTGCTGAGCAAAGTACACTTCCTCTATTGAAACATCAGTGGAGCCTCTCTCCAGTCTGCACTGAACATGAAGGAAGTGCATTGGATACACTATGGTTACACACTAACATCAAAACATTTAATAAACAAATAGAGGAGTCCACAGCTAAAGCCACACTAATACACATTCAAGAGTAAACTATGTCTGTAAGGTAGATTTTAATTGAAAGGTTAAACTGTTCTCAGAATAGATTTATTTTTATAAATGTAAGACTGGGACGAGATGTCAATTGTTTTAAATGTCGAGTTTATTATTAATTATAATATTTATCAGCCAAAACAATGATTTTATTTTTTATTACATTTTATATTTGTGCTATTTATGTTATAATTCAGCTGGCAAGCCTATAAAATTTAGCTTGATGACAGATTCCATAAACTTACACTTACAAATAATTTAGTTTAAGTGATTTTAAAAGGCTGCTTTTTAAACTTTTTTTAATATAAATGTATAATTCAGCTGACAAGCCTATACAATTCTGCTTGATGAGATTCCATAAACTTACACTTACCCCCCCCCCCCAACATTTTTTTACAAATAATTTCGTTTAAGTGATTTTAAAAGGCTGCTTTTTTAAAATATAAATATGCAATAAATATCTCCGATGCATTAAAAATATATAATTATGTTCATCTTTTTATGTTCAAGTGGAAAGGTTATGCATATGAAAGTCAGTTCCAGTGCATCTGTTTAACATGAATTTTTTTTTATTGCATTTACAGTTTATTGCAAGGTTTAAAAAACCTTCAGACGTGTCACAAAATTAATTTTCATACAAATATTTGAGAACACATATTGTTAAAAGGAAGGCAGGAAACTTACAATCAAATTATTAAACAAAAAACAAGACGTTTAAGTAAGTATTTCCTCTCGTATTGAAAGTGTTAATGGATGATAGAGAAAACGTATCCATCTGATGTCAATAACTGAAACACTTGTAGGAAGAAAAGCATTTCCTGGCATATTTAATTAGTAAATAGGCACTGAACGCAAATAGTATGAGCACTGATAATAGCAGGCCAATAAGTTAAAAAGGTGACTTGTATTGCTAAGTCTATAGTATGATGGACATAATATTAAAGTTACTTAAAGCAAATATTTTAAAACTGTTCTTCACATGTTTTCATTCTGTCCTGGCTCAAAACACACAGGTCAAAGAGACCCACTGGAAGAAAAAAAAAATCCGTACAAAAATGGAAAAGGTTCTGGTAATTTTCTGCCAGCACATTATCCATTAAATTTGCAGACATTTCCTTTAACCCCAAAACACAACACAATACAATGCAAAATTCATAAAATTGCAAAAAATAGATTTGCCCCTGTGATCACATAGGGGGCTTTCCGTTCTCTGTTTTCATGTAGTCCGGAATCTTTTTGGAAATGGAGTAATAGAAATTTCTCATCTTCTCCTCCACTTTGACAAAACCTGGCCGTTCTTCATGCCTGAAGAAGACAAGAGTCAGATGCCAATCAGAGGTTATTTATATTCCCTTGAGCCCCCCATTCACACACAAGCAAACAGACAAGTATTACGAGTAGCTTATAATGTCAATGTAAGAAACGTAATGGCATTAGATTGTATTTACTTGTATGTCCAGCACTCCTTCATCAGTTCATGCATGGTCTCAGGACATCCAGCAGGGCAATCCATACGACTACCACTTTCAATAAAACTCATTACCTCTGGGCCTTTCATTTTCTGCATGAGGAAGGTAAACGGATGAAAAGTCACGTGAGCAACTTACTGAAGTTGGTTTTAAGCACTGTGACAGTGTAAATATTTACCTTATAAGGCTTTCCTCCATAGGAGAAGGCCTCCCACATCGTAATGCCAAAGCTCCAAACGTCACTTTTGCTGGAGAACTTATGATATTGAATGCACTCTGGTGCGTACCACTTCAGAGGCCATTTACCTCCTGTACGGGCCTACACACATACAAAACCACACTCTGAATGAGTATTCGCTTTTTAACTTTTACCTGCACAATGCATCAATCAGTAACATCTGACTATTGGGCCACTGATGGTCATGTGACTAGTCATGAAACAGGAGCAAGGAACCCCATTGTAAGTATATCTGACAGTGCAATATACTGTAGAAGATTTAGAAATGTATAGAGAGGATTTAATTTCTCCAAGACTACAATGTGTCCCATTAAATATACTAAATTATATTAATTATAATTAGAATGTAACTGTGTTCCAAGTGTGTTTCTCTCACAGTACACCTGAGAGCAGCCCACCTTGTAATAGTTGTCATCTGCACCCAGTGCCTTGGAGAGGCCGAAGTCACTGATCTTGGCATATTGCTGGTTGACTAATAGTACATTACGGGCTGCCAGGTCTCTGTGCACAAAGTTCCTTTCTTCTAAATACTTCATCCCCATCGAGACCTGATGCATTAACATCACAATGTTTTCCATAGTGATCTGGTCCCTGAAAGGAGCAATACTGATCAACTTGGGAATTTTCTGATTTAGTCAGAACAATGTTTTAAATGCTGACTCTATTTAATATTTGCTTGCCCATTGCTTACAGATTAGAGATTTCACACTTACTTTAACACAAGTTGGAACAGAAATCACTATTAAATCACTACTATATGACTATATATTAATAACACAAATTAAAGAACAAGTTATAAATATTTGTATTCTGATTTACTCACTTCTTGCCAGAGAGAAACTTGTTGAGTGGGCCAGCGGGGGCCATTTCCATCACCAACATGAGCACTTCAGCCTCACAGACTCCAATCATGCGCACAATGAACGGATCACTCAGCTGATGCATAATATGGGCCTCTCGCATCATTTCATCCTTTACTGATTTTTCATTCTCATTCTTCAGCACTTTAATTGCCACATCAATCTGTTTGCTACACAAGAGAAGGAAACATGAGCTTATGATGTAAACGTATTTAATTTTAGGAAAATGTTACAACACAAATTCTTCCACTCTTTGTAGTCACCTTTCCATTTTGAATACACCTTTCTTGACACAGCCGAAGTTGCCTGAACCAAGCTCCACCTCGTCGATCATGAGCTTGTCTCTCTTGATGAACAGGGACTTCTTCTTGCATTCATTTGGATCATCGTAAGGACTGATGAATGCATCATGGTCCATAGGCAAAGCTGGACGTGGAGGCTCAGCTCCTGAAGGCTTGGGCACTGGGGAACAACACAGCAGATGTTATTAGTGTGCTAATTAACTTTTGAAAGTGATCACTTTTGTTTAAACTACCGTAGTTTACGGCAGCTCCGCTGGGATTTTTGTTGTGTTTTTAGGAACATTTTTACGAAAACATTCAGTTTTTTATTGCTAACAAGTAAACATACATTTTCTTGTGGTAGCTGTAGTAGTGCTTATGTAGCAACGTGTTAGCAACATATATTTTTTTAAGCACACAGTGGTTAAAAATTCACATTTGAGGTATGATTGTTGAAAATTCTCTTCATGTAGCTAATGCTAACCACAGACCTTATTTTACTCATGAACTGAAAACCAGCATTCTGAAAACCCATAGAAATGCCAGTAGAAACACGTGGTTAATGCAAATTCTCTTCTTCAGGACTACAAACTGTACAGCTGTATGGTAAATCCAAGCCATTTATTTTTGTTGTTCTTTTTTGTTGTTCATAGTTTGTGCAAATCTATGTGGTCTGATTCCAGAGAGTTTAGTAGTAATAGCCAAAACTTGATGCATTTATCACTAAGACAGCACAGAGACTCTGAGACTTGGACTGTATTTGTTTTAAACATATTTCAAGTAGACATACATTTCTAGGCATATTTGTTGATTTTATCACTGCTGTTAGATGGTTTCAACTTTCTAATGTTGTACCGATACAAACTTACCCATAGGGGGCGGTGTGTATCCATTACCTCTCTGCCTCCTCTGAAACACACAAACAGAAAGCCCTACGATTAACCACATGCACAAAATTATTAAATGTCTTCAAAAAATAGATGTGCTCTGTCAGCCAGGCTTACCGGAACGTTTGTAAGAGCTAAAAGTGAAGAAAAGAAAAGAGAAGAAAAATATCTTAGACGATCTGAAATCGTACCATATAAAGCCCCAAGACTGATTGTTCATAGGCATATACATATATTTGCTGTTTTGGGGAAGAGATATATGTTTTACATAAAATGTTTTTAACATGAAAGTTTATACCTGAAACTGCATTACTTTGGTTGATACACGGTTCTCTCAGTACAGTCACAAGACCATCAGGCTTCATCTTTAAATATTCAACCAGCTGCCCTCCAGAAGAATATAATTATTACAAAAAACATCAAAGACAACTACAAAAATAAAAAGGTCAAAGTCTTTATATATGCAGATACATTTTGATATGGTCATAAATTACTATTGTATTATCTATTGGATGTTTTTGTTTGCTTTGCAAGCTGTTATACTAAAACACATTTTCAATATTTTAAAACAATTGAATATGCACATGTATTTATTGTGCAATACTTTAAATGATTTAAATTATATTTTAATTTACTTTTTGTGGTGCCAAACACCACAGCATGTACAAATAAAAATAATTATATTATATAACCTTCACAAAACATAAATCTTAAATATCTATGTCATAGGCATACTCTTTTCTTGTCATACTTGTTATGGAGCTAAATATAATGAGTTTAAATCTAATTTAGCAAAAGCTATTACATTCTAGTAACATTGTGTGAAGGGTATTTTTACCCTTCAATCTTTTTTACTCTTTCATAAAGCAGAATATGAGATGACAGGTTCATTGATGGGTAAAGCATACCTGCCACACCGTGTCAAATTTAGTTCCCTCTGGCATTGCGCATTTCCCTGATTTGTCGTGTAAAATCTGATAATGGTATACTGTTTTTCCGTATGTCAGTGACAGCGCATACGTGCCAAATTCTTCTCTCTCTCGGACTCTGGAAAACAAAACAAATCACAAGATCACAGGTCAGATATTTGTTTTCTGTGCTTTCCTATTTCTCTTTAGTTATTGGAGTAACATGTTTATGTCATCTTGACCAATCCTGCTGTGTGTATTTTTGAATTTCATATTTTCATGATGCAGACAGAGCTATTTGAGGGAATGTAGATGAGCAAATACAGCATCTATAGCCGACATCATTTTTTAAATCATCCGCTTTGCATTGATTTTACTCATTACATCACCCAAGACCTAACTTTATCTCTGCTACAAACAATATTGTTCATCAGGTTTGCCTCTAAATGCAGCCCATGTGTCATCATGACATTTCCACCATAATGCTGCGGGAAAACTTTAGACTGATGACTCCTCAAGCTCTTCACTCACAGGAACTTTCCATCCGGCTGAGATCCTGAATACAGTCGTCTCTCACCCTCCTGGCGAGGGATCTTGCCATGGAACCAGGGCATTTTCTCATGCGCTGTGGTGGCAATCAGTTTCTCTAGCTGTGGGGCCTGGCTAATGACGGCTTGTTCCATGGCCTCCCCCTAAACAAAAAGGAACATAATATCCTATTTTTGTGATCTCTCATGAAAAATGGTCAAACACGTCCTTACCGTTGGAGACTGACAATAAAATGTAATATTTTTTTAAAAAGAAAATAATAAAGTGCATAAAATATGGCGTAAATACATTTAAATAAGAGGAATAGGCCATAATGGTGTCATTTGCAGGAAAAATACTTTAATGTGTACGCAAGACAATTTTACGGTTAAATATATGGTTAACTAAAAAAAATGAAAAGCATGTATTCTAAAGAATGACCTGTAAATGTAAGAATGTCTGTTACACTTTTCATTTTTAAAGTTCAAGAACTTAAATATTTCCATTTAAACTATGACTAAATGGATAGCCCACCTAAAAAAAGGAAAATTCTGTCATCATTTACTCACAGTCAGGTTGGAAAAAAAGTGATATGGAACCGTATCGTGGTCATCAAACCTACAATTATTTCATAGCCACACAGTTACCTAATATTAATCAAAACCTTGCTTGTCAATCAGAATCAAACCCATTTTGAACCTCTTACCTCCAGGTTCCAAGTCTGACGCACATATTCCCTGAGCATATTGTCCCTCAGGCTGTCAAAGACGCCTGCCTTGATTGATGTGTCAGCCGTTCGCAGGCAGGGTTTTCTCAAGGTGCACATGAGCCCATCGGGGTCTTTGCTGTAGAACTCACAGAGCTCAGCAGGTCCGCAGTGAGGCTTCCCACCTGCGATGCAGTATGTGCCGTTAAGCTGTTTTTCAATGGAGTAATGGTAGAATTCCAGGTTCCAAACCAAAGACAGGACGTAGCCGCCCAAACTGCGGAGGCACTGCCGCAGGAGGAAGTGGCCGTCTCCCATGCCGGCCAGCTTCAGGTGCTCCTCGGCCTCCAAGCGACTGATGCTGCCATAGAAGAACGGGAGGTCCGTGGCAGGGTCGGACATGATGGAGGCGACAAGGGGTTGAAGAGTCTCTCTAGATCAGAAGCTGCGGAAAATGATGTTTGAGAGAGAAAGAGAGAAAAACAGAGAAGGCGAGAGAGATTGAAGTGACTGATAACTTTAACAAAATGGGGCAAACTGTTGTGAGCATGTGTTTCTGCTGATGTGGGATGTGGGAGGATGTTTCCCGTCTGAAAGCATCTCTCCCACTTTTTCTCAGTTTCCCACTTTTTTGTATCCTCAACACAGAAATTAGTAGTTTTTGATGGCTTTATTTCATCAAAAAAATTGGTATGTAGAGGTATATAGTGTTAATAAGACAACATGTAAAAGTTGGTGGTGTGGTTGGAGCTTTAGTGCTTTGCAACCGGCAAAGTCTCGCATTCGGATCGAATCACCACAACAGGAAATTCAGACATATCCTTCCCCGCCCCCGCCAGCCCTTAAATGACAACCCTCCACCCTGCGCAGGTGCTGATGCTTCAAGAATGTTCCTAAGCTTGTCAACAGACACATGCTTTGCTGAAACGCGTCTCTGGGACTGAAAGAAAATGAAGAAGATGATTAAAAATGCTGTACTTGTAGATACCAATAAGGCACAAAGATGAAACTGTGGCACCATGAAAAAAGCATCTGTAACAGACTTCCTCATGTAGTTATGAAAATTTTCCAGTGACTGAATGCTAATGCTGTGTAGAAGAGTAGGAGGTCAATGATCAAGCAAAAAAAAAAAAGCAAAAACTGCACAAAAAAAAAATCCCTACTGCTTTTCTCAATGCCTCACAGGTCAGATTCCATCGTTTTATGCAAATGATCTGACAGTGACTTCTAGACAGAATGGCACATGTCCTGAGGTGGCAACACATGGACTGAGAACAAGTGGAAGACCCTAGACAGGCAGCTTTGATTTAAACCACAGCTTCCTGGACACAGAGCTGCCCACACTTACATGGATGACAACGGTTGAAGACACAGATAAAGACCCACAGCCACACATATACACAAACCTTAAATCTTAAACCACCACAGGCCACAGCAAAGACACTGGGGGACAGTGCACTGTCTGAGGGGAAACATGAGACTCATGAGGCAATTTGATCCTTTCCATTTTACATTTGGAATTTAATGTAGGTGTGATGTTGCAATTTTTTACTATTATTATTTACAGTGCATGGCATAAATGAGTACACCCCCTCTGAAACTTAACAAATTCAGCAATTACTCTTTGCTTAGAAGACATGTTATGGTTTTTTTAGAGATATAATATTCCAACAAGTCTGCTTGATCAGTTACCAAAGAAGAATGTTAAAATTATTCAAGAAAAAAAAAATGTTCTTATCAAAGTGATAAAATGTTGTGTTGCAAAAATGAGTACACCCTCCTAAAAGTTACTAAATAAAACAAAAAAAAAATTTATGGTGTAAGGTTAAGGCAAGTATTGATCAACAGGTAAAAGTATATTGAACCAAAACTTTTAAAGACAAGTAATTTCCTGACAATTAAAAGTGTTATATAGCCCACTGAATCATACTCAGACTTAATGCTGACAACAATGAAACCACTTGAGAGAGAACTGTCAGGAGATTTATTTCTTAGCATAACAGAGGACAATGGTACAAGAGGAATACCAAATTATTGGTTTAAGTGTGAAAATATAGCCAAAGTAACACAGAAATTCAAAAACAATGGACTTGTGAAAAGGCCCCTGAAATAATCAGGTCTTTCTCTTTAAACTTTCATTTAGTGATGAGTGAGTTTTTGCTAGAAAAAGAAACACTGTGAAAGTGTCTCAGAGCCGGCAAAAGCTGTGAAAAGAGTGACACTTTATCTCACAGCGTATGATCCAGCATGCAGAAGTGACATGCATGGTTGTTTATCCACACCAGAACTACCGACTGTAGCCAAAGCACCATAAACTCATTTAGCTTTTTCCAAGGCCCATATTTACAAAATATAGACTTCTGGGAATCCATACTCTGGTCTCATGAGACCAATTCAGTCATTTCGGATCTAACAGCATCCAAAATGTTCTGGTGTTGCTAGAGGAGGACTACAGAGAGAAGTGCCTGGTTCCCACAGTGACGTTCAGTGGTAGTAAAGCTCTTCTATAGGGATGTATAAGTGCTGAAGGTGTGAGGGAGTTGTGCTTTATCAACGCTGTCATGAATTCACACACCACTGTGTGATGTAATACAAAAACCTGAAACTGAGGATGCTACCCTCTTCTCATTCTCTGCACTGTTGGGCTTTTTTTTTAACATTACAATGAAGATATTCATTCTCCTGAGTTGAAAATCCTTCAGTGGACATGTATTTCACTCAATCTTAACACTCTTGAGCAGCTGTGAGAGATTCTGTAGAGATGAGCTGAGCAACACTCCCCATTAAAGATCAGAGCATTTAAGGAGGTCGTCCTCCAGGAGTTAAACAGCACAGATGGGAAAATTTGTCATGAACTTGTACACTCAGTGTCAAGAAGTTCTAGAATATTACACTTGGTTGAATTAAATCTAGGTTGTACTCAATTCTGTAGTCCTTCATTTAAACAAAAATTGGCTAAGTTTCTTATTTTACAGATAGTAATGGCATGTATTTCTCTGTTTTTATTAAGAATATGTTTAATATATTTCAATTTTGCCATCTTTCTATGAATTATATTAGTGATCATTAAGAAAATACATCTTTTATATTTAATCAGAGGGGGTGTACTCATTTATGCTGTGCACTGTATGTTACCCCTGAATATAGCACAACATGAAGGATTTATCAAATCTGCTCAAAAATAAATAATTTAATAAATGATAAATTATTAGATAACTGATGCTTTGATTGTATTTTTAATATTATTTTAGCTATATAAATTACATATTAACACACACATAAATGTATAATTATGTGTGTGTATATATATATGAAGATTTCAGATGCAAACGCCTCTCAGTGCCGTCTGAAATTTTCTTTAGAAATGAGCATTTTTATCAGGCTCTTATGTTTAGGTTCAGTAATTTTACTTTA